AAGGACCTCTGGTAAGCTGAGCTAGCTTGTTGTGGTGCCCTGGGATGGGGAAATGGTATCTGTGAAAAAGAATATAAATTCTGCAAATTAAACCTGGTAGTTTTGGGGGAAAGTGTTTAGTCCACTTTAACCCTCCATTTGAAATATTGCCTTCCTAGTTATCAGTTTGAGTTTACTATGGAAATGGAATATTTATGCCAACAAAATGTGCCTTGGTGTGGTCTTCTCACTGATGAAAAACACCTGCTTAGCCCTGGCTGGCATAGCTCAGTGGATTGAGCTCGGGCCTGCGAACCAGAGTATCGCGGTTCGATTCCCAGTCAGGGCACATGCCTGGGTTGCAGGCCAGTTCCCAGCAGGGGACACATGAGAGCCAACCATACATTAATATTTCTCTCCTATTCTTTCTCCTTCCTTCCCCTCTCTGGAAAAATAAATAAATAAAATATTAAAAAACAAAAACAAAAACAAAAAAACACCTGCTTAGTATGCATTAACCTAAGTGTAGTACTTGTACTTCTCTAAGGATGTTTCTACCCAGTCCTCAGTAAGCCGATGCTGCTTTATTTTCTTCAGGTGTATATACTGAAGGGGCAATTTTTCTTTTTGTTTTTTTTACCCATTATGAAGTCCAAAGACAAATGGTACTTGACTGCTTGGGCTCTTTAGCCTTTAACCTTAGTGACTATAAGATGTTGCTAAAGCATAGTTTATCTATTGAAACTTCTTTTGGAAATCAGAATATTACACTGCACATCATGAAAAAAGAAAAATGTTGAAGTATAAAGCTTAGTCAGATGTGATATAATCATTATTGAAGATATGGTATGAGCAAATTGTTTTTCTTAAGTAATGAACACATTTGCTTATAGTTTGAAAAAAAGGTATAGTTTAAAAGGTTTCTTTTAAAAAACTTATAGAAAGTTAAAAGTGTGAAATCCATTTTAGCATGTTAAAAACATTTGAGTTTTAAGCTAATAACACAGATGTAAATATATCCAACTTCAAATTACTTGGAATTATAGATTCTAAATACTTTAAATTGAAGTTAAAATGAAATCAAGAGTAAATTAACCTGTGACTTTTTCTTCTGGTTATTTTTAGGTATATAGGATGTGAAATGGCAAACAATGTTTGTAAAGAGGACACATTATTGTGACTGCACTCCAAGTAGTATTTATTGGCATCTCATTCCTTCAAAAAAAGGAATCTCACAGTGTTCCATATAGACCTACTGAAAACCTCAATTCTATTGAGTTGGCCAAATGTCCATATGGTTTTCTCTGTAACATACAAGATATTTTTCATTTTCAGCAATAACTTTATTGATTTGAGTATTTTGAGTATGTTGGCTATCTTCTACTACCAGCTTCTAGTGTGTAGAGGTGAGGGATGCTGCTAAACATCTTCGAATGCATAAGACAGCCCTTGAGCAAAGACCAAAGGCCAAAACTTCAATAGTACCAAGAAATTTCACACGCCAGCTTTGGCACATTCAATCAGTTACAGCTTCTTCTCCATACACTGCACAAATCTTTTGTGTTTCAGTTGCATTTTTACCTTTCTTGAAATAATGAAGCATAATACGCTGAAATATTGTGAATCTTCTTCCATCTTCAATATTAAAGAAGCTGCACAAAAATGCACCAATTTTGATGAGTCTTTTTAAAAAGCACACTGATACAACAGCTGTCACAATACAATCTAACAAACTTGTTTCGAACGAAAGACAACTAAGCGCTATTAGAGCCATCTTACAGAAAAAAACGTAACGGACTTTTTGGCCAACACAGTGTTTTTGAATCCTTTTTAATTTTATTTCTTTAAAGACTTTATTTATGTATTTTTAGAGAGTGGAAGGAAACCACCAATGTGTGGTTGCCTCTTGCGTGCCCCCTACTGGGGTCCTGGCCCTTGACCCAGGCATATGCCCTGATTGGGAATCAAACCAGTGACCCTTTGGTTCACAGGCTGGTGCTCAATCCACTGAGCTACACCAGCCAGGGCTAAACCCTTTTTAAAAACATCTTTTCTACAGATTCTCTAGAAGTCAGCCAACAATCCAGGCCTACCACTTGAGCTAACAGCTTCATATTTTAAAACTCAAAAAGTAGGGTAGGAGGGAAGTGAGAGTGACTAAAAACAAAATGAAAATGGCCAATACATCTTGGGAAGTACTTTATTACAATAAATAGGTGACTTCGCTTGCTATAGCACACTCTGCCAAAACCATATTTGCTACAGAACACCCAAACAAGTATATTCAATATTAATTAAAAGGACTAAATTTATGTAGTACTTTTTAATATACATTTTATAATATAAAATATATATAGGGGTACTGTGTGCATTATCAAACAATTCACCTGTATTACTAAGGTGTAAAATTTTCTATGATTCATGTTAATCTGTTTGAATTAGAGATTAAAAAAAGTATTGAGATAGTGGCCCTAGCTGGTGTGGCTCAGTGGATTGAGTGCGGGCCTGGGAATCTAAAGGATCAACAGCTTGATTCCCAGCCTAGGACACATGCCTGTGTTGCGGCCCAGGTCCCCAGTAGGGAGCCTGTGAAAGGAAACCCTACACTGATATTTTTTTTCCTCCCTTCTCCTCTGTAAAATAAATAAAATCTAAAGTATTGAGATAGTTGGATTGGACCTACCAACTACTTAAATTGAACCCCAAAGATCCAAGGGGTTCATAAGCTTATTCTATGGCCATGTATGCTTCTCATCAGAAAACTGAAAAAAAATGTTGACATAAATACGTTATAAGGCTATCTGACTATGTTATAAGTACATTATGCAGAATCTTTATAAGTCTTAGCCCTGGCAGGATTCCTAGGCAAGAATTGGCAGCTACTTCATATTTTACTTTTGATTGCCTCTTCACTTTTTTTGTGCTTGGGGGGGCAGGGGGTCATGACTTTAACCAGGCTTCTTTGGACAGTAACAGTTTCCTTTGCCTGGTCTTATTTCTTGAGTGGTATAGGGACAGACCCCACCAGACAGTGCCCTGTTTTTAATCGTTAGGCTTCTCTTCCCTTCACATTCATGCTGCTTGGAAAGACAATGAAGCAAACAAGCAAGGCCTCACACTTTAACATTAAGGAACCATTTTGCCACTTCTCTCCAGGATGGGCACAAGGTGTAGGATCACTCCCTTACATGAGTGTTTTAAACTGAGATGACGTGCTACAAATTAAGAATTTTTTTAAATTCTGAGGGGAGTCTTTTTAATATTAAGAACTGCCTTTTCACACTTCTCTACTGACTGTGTGGAAATAAAGAACAAATTAGAGCATATTGGAGGGTGTTGGCGAGGGGATGTTGGACACAGACTAACCAGAAGAGGGCTCATCTTGTGTAACTAACTTAGGGTACATATTTGGTTTCTCTGATGGGTCTTCAGAGTTGGAAGCAGAGGCAAAATTAGGGAAGCTGGAAGTCAAAGACCATTCCTGCTCATTCTGTGCTGAATTACTGTCTGGCTGTGGTTTGACTTTCCTGGCTGGTTGGGGCAGATGTTGTGGGTCAGAGTTGTGCCCTCACATGGCCTGGTTATTGTCCTGTACATTCAGTCTCTCAGCTGATAGAAGCGGAGGTTTTTCTTTTCCCTTGACCTAACTAGCTTTCGAGCTTCAAATTTTTGTTTTACCTGAACAACATAGCTTTCCGATTATTTGTTAAGGATAAATGGAGACATTAGGATATGTAAAGTATTAATGGGAACAAACGCATAAATATTTTCCTGGTGAAGGTCAGGCCGAAGAATTACTCTGGGTCTATCGGTTGCTCTTTCCTCTACAGAACTAGTTTTCAGCACAACTAACTCCTTAGCAACTGTCCTTTCTTTGGGGACAGCCCACTGGGGCCGGGAGGACGGTCGCGCCGTGGGCCCCCTCCACAGCGCAGTCCCGTGCAGCGCCCCCGCCTCCCCCACGCCCGGTCCCCGCGCAGTCCTCGTGTAGGGCCCCTGGCCCCGCTCTCCCCTTGGTCTCGCCAGCCTCCTTCCGGCCGCCTCCCTGAGCGCGCGCGAGGTGTGGCTGCCACCAGTCCCGCGCGTTCCTGGACTGCCGTGCCGCGCGGCCCCGCAGCAGCCTCCCGGGCCCGCCGGAGATGTCAGGTCAGCACTCCCGTCCCCGAGCCGTTGCGTCCAGGGGCCATCCCTGGAGCGCATCCCGGGTCAGCATAAGCAGATCCTCTCTGGTTATAACCCCCAGTTTCCACCTTTGGGGGCGCCAAAACAGGGAGGAACCTTCCTAGCCACTGTTCCCCAGTCATCTCCTCTCAGCTGTGGAAAAAGCACCCCTCCTTTTCCTTCTGAGGGTAACTGTATTTTCCCTTCCCCTTTCCTCTACTGGGGCATCTCCGAGCCCTCATCTGCAAGTATATCCCTCCATTTTCTCTTCAGGGAGCTTCCCTGGCCCCAGGCGCCTGCCGAAAAGTCGTACAAGCGGAGGCGCCGCGGCGGCCGCGGCGACGGCAATTGAGCTCTAGCCATTTTGTGTAGAGGCGGAGCCGCGGCTGCCGCCATGCGGTAAGGCGGAGAGCGAGGCGGGGTCGGGGGAACGGCGGGCGAGGGAGGGGCAGAGAAGCGGAGTTAGCTCGGGTGGCGACTTCGGTGGTGCGGCGAGAACAGGCGGCGGCGGAGGTAGGGCCGGCCGACCCGGGTAGCTGCGGCCGCGGGCTGGTTGGCCGGACGCCCGGAGAGCAGGGCGGGGTGGGGCGGTGGCGGATGAGGCAGCAGCCAGCTGCCGGGTGGGGGCGGGCGGAGATTTCCGAGGAGGAAGGAGCGCCGCCATTTTGGGAGCTTCGAATCAACAATAAAGGACCGAGGGGGCGAGCGGGAGTGGCCTCCGTGGTAGGACTCCGGCCCGAGCCGCGGGGAGTTGGGTGAGGTGCGTGCGAGGGAGAAGGGTCGAGATCAGCGGTGCAGTCGGGGTTGCGGGAGGCCCCCTCAGTCGGCGTGGAGGGCTCTGTTAGGCTGAGGCCTAAGGCCTTGGACGGGCCCGGGGGGGCCGGTGGCAGCTGTGGATTGGGGGCGCCTGAGAAGAGTCGAATAGGGGGATGTTGTGCGCTGCGGTGTCCTTAGAAGGAGCAGGCCAAGTACTCGGAGGAGTTTTATGGAGACGAGGGAATGAGGAATCCTGGGAGTAGCAAGGACTTAGGGCGATGGTGGAGGTTACAGGGAACGAGGCAGCCCTATAGGGGGCGACAGGGATGTGCAGTAGTGGAGGACTCGCTTTAGAAGGGGACCAGCAGTGGCTTGATTGGAATAAGGCCCTGTAGGTCGAAAACGGAGGGTGATGCTGGAGCCCCCGAATTGTGGAGGAAATGAAGGCTTTCTTGGTAAGGGTTTCTGTTTGGGCCATAGAGGGAGAGTCCATATTGTTTCCTACCAGCGAGCTGGTTCGTTCCCTGCTCTTGTTGCGCAGATTGGATTGCAGGGCCCCAATTCTTTTGTGTCTATGGTCAAAGGGAGCCGACTTGAAGTGTGGGTGTTGTGGGTAGTGAGGAAACAGGGAGAGCAAGAAATTATTTTCGTGCAATCACGGGGTTCAAATAATTGACTTTTTTTCTTTTTCATAGTCCCCTTTTCTCTTCACAGTAAAACATGTCACTCCAACGTGCAGACCCACCTTAGAGAAATTGCTCTGGAGATGACGATAACTGTTTTGAGTGTAAAACTCAGTTGCTAACTACAATCTGGGAAGTCCTATAATTAATTCAGCATCGGTTTTCTCCCAGTTAGTCTTAAGTTTCGTTTACCCTTTGGAAATGTAGAAATATAAGTTGTAAATTTAAATTGGGAAGGGATAGGAGGATTATTTACTTTTCTGAGTCAATGCTGCAGTGCAGCTTTTATTTTAATTAAGAGGAGAGCAGTTATTACATTTTGGATCTTGGAAGATAAAAGGCCTTCCATGCATGATGAACAGTAGTAATACCATTTAATCACTAGAGGTTGTCCTCTTCATCATCTTAGTACTTTGCAAACAAGTTTTCTGGTGTGAACTTGGTTCATAATATAAACCTGTCAATACCGGATACCATTTAGGGCCTTGAACTGAAATTAGGTGGCTGTTACCCAGATTCTGGGAGACTTAGAAATAATGCCTCTTCCCGTGTGTGATAATCAGGATTTGCTTGTGAGCAGCTTTATTTTCTTTTTCTTTAAAAAGACATCGATATTTTAGAAAAATTTTACTGTTTGAGAAGCCTTGGCGTGTGGCAAAAAAAATAACACTAGCTAAATAACACTAATTAATAAACTAACGTATTTGGGTAAGAAATGTAAAGGAGTTCAGGAACAAACACCACAGAGTAGGCCTTTGTAAATTAACTTTTTATTTACTACTTTTTAAAATAAGAATTTGGTTTTGGAAATAATAAAAAATGGAAGAGGTTAATTAGTTCTTTAAAAAAAACTATTAGTACTCTGGGTTTCTTGGAAAGTCTAGTGTGTTTTTTTACACAATTTCTTTTAAACAAGGCACACTTTTTAAAATAATTTTTAGAGTAATACTATTTTAAGTTAGGTTATCCTTTTGGAAAAGTGTTGTATTGAAATGTAGCTAATAGTTTTTTAGTATTCAAATTACATTTAAGGTAGATAAAGAGTTTCTTGGCTGTTTTTCAATCAAAAGATTTTGATATGTACACATGTCTATATCACTACGGTTATTTTAAAGGGCAAAAACTTACGGGGGAAGTGGTTTTTTCATAAAGTTAACTTTTGTAATTGATATTTGTAAGGGCACAAATGGGTTTTTTATTTCTGAAAGCATAAATTGTCTCGCCTTGTACATGTGTAGATTTATGTGAGTTGTGAGATATTTAATTGAGTTGTAATGCAGTGAAGGGAAGAGATTGTCATTTGACAACTAGTGCTAGTTTAATCACTGTATTTTTCTGTCTAATCTCTGGGTTGCTTTGAACTGACAATTTAAAATGAGATTGGTCTCATTGTGTGTTTGGTTTTCGGGGCAGTTCATCTGTTTCTGTCTCTTATCCTGGCTAATGATTTGGTCTAAGTGCAGCTGTAGTCTTAATTCTTAAAGAAAATTAAGGAAAACAGTTTTTTTTTTTTTCCTAAACTTCCAGCGTTTACTAACTTAACTCTTTTTTTGTTTCAGATTGAAGTGAGTGAATTCAGATACATAACTCAACCTTGTTAGAGAGCTTTTTAAAAAATAAAAAGTTGATTTGGTGCATGAGAGCAAGTTACTGCTGCTTACTGTTCAGAGACTTACAGGTGCTTGCCTGCATTGCAATAAAAGACTCAATATTGAGCAAGACTTATATATATCTCTTCGTTTTGGAGAGCCTAATAAACTATTTCAGTTTCTCTACTGACTTTCAAGTTTTGAAGTTTGAAAGAGACATCTTTACATTTAATACAGCATGAGCACGGCCAGAACAGAGAACCCTGTTATAATGGGTCTATCCAGTCAAAATGGTCAGCTGAGGGGCCCTGTGAAACCCAGTGGTGGCCCTGGAGGAGGGGGCACACAGACACAGCAACAAATAAACCAGCTGAAAAACACCAACACAATCAATAATGGCACTCAGCAGCAAGCACAGAGTATGACCACCACTATTAAGTAAGTGTCAAAATAATAAATGTTCTTGGGGGAGAAGCCAAGGAGATTTCTTTTTTTTTATTCTGTTGTTGAATATTTGTATATGTTAACCATTTTAATTGCAAGTAGAGAATAGATGACTTTGTTTTATGGCTAGTAGGTATTTGCAATAGAATATATTTTTGTCACAATTTGTGTTTATTAAGTAATGAATATAGATAGAGATGATAAATGATAATTTTGTATAGTTTTTTTTTCTGGAACATTGCTAGCTTTCATAATTAGTTCAGATTTATCTTGTTCTTGCCTATATGGCTTTTCCCCAGTATTAAGTTTATGCAACTTTTTTTTATGACCTTTTTTCCTCCTCTTAAATACACACAAAATAGCAAGCAGTTAAATATCATAGACACTCAGGATTTTAAACTCTTGGGAACACATCTCTGAACAGTCCTAATACCCCTTGTTGACTCTAAAAATTTAAGAGCCTCTTATCTTACTCTAGAATGTGTTTTCTTTTAAATTGGAAAGATTGTAGGCTGTCATTTTAAGTGTTCACTATAAATTCTTTGAATGGTAAACATCACTCTAAAGATTTAGTTAATAGAAAATTAACATTTTAATTTTATTATCTTTAGAGGGGAAGGAAAGGAGAGAGCGAGAGAAACATCAATGTATGGTTGCCTTTCACGCGTCCCCTGCTGGGAATTGGCCTGCAGGGAACTGGCCTGCAACCCAGGAATGTGCCCTGACTCGGAATCGAACCACGATTGTCTGGTTTGCAGGCCTGTGCTCAATCCACTGAGCTACACCAGCCAGGGCGAAAATTAACATTTTAAAAGTCAGTGCATTTGAGGTTTGACTTAGTTGTTAAGAATCCAGCCTATAGCCATGATCTGTGTGGCTAAGGTTGAGTGTCTTCCCCTGAAGCAGGTCACCAATTGCTAGGATTGCAGGCCATATCCCCCCGTGGGGTGTGAGAGACAACAGATTGATGTTTCTCTTACACATCAATGTTTCCCTCCCTCCCTTTCTCTGTTCCCCTCTCTTTAAGAATAAATAAAATACTTTTTAAACATTTAGCCATATAATTGATTTAATCTCTAGAAATTTAAGATGATTAAACTGGTTCAATGTACTAAAATATTTTTTATTACAACCTAGATCTTGTCCATGCTTAAGAAGTGCTTCCTCAAGAAAAATAGCCTTTATAAGCTACCGGGATATTATACAGATGGTTACTGCTAGGTGCTTCACCAGTGACATATAAGAATTTCCAGTAGAATTGGCTTGGTCACTGGGAGAATGGTCATATAATGCATATTCTATTTTTAAGGTCAATGCTTTAATTAGAATATTTTCTGAATTGTAGTTTGTCTTGACAAATTGAATAGTTAGCAAAATTTAGGCTATTTTTAATCCTTAAGAATAGAACCACAGCCCTGACTGGTGTGTAGCTCAGTGGATTTAGTGCAGGTTATGAAACAAAGGGTTGCCGATTCGATTCCCAGTCAGGCACATGCCTTGGTTGCGGGACAGGTCCCCAGTAAGAGATGTGTGAGAGGCAACCACCCATTGGTATTTCTCTCCCTCTCTTTCTACTTCCCTTCTCGTCTCCTTAAAAATAAATAAATAAAATCTGAAAAAAAAAAGAATAGAACCATAAAGCTGTGTCATTTCATTGAGTATTTTCTACTTAAATTTTAATTTAAGATGGCAGTGGATTTTTTACCCAGGTACTTCTTTGCTTTTCTTTGGTTTAATGATTTCTTTTCAGTTATGTGGCTTCTTTAAATCTTAGTTCAAGTGTCATCTCCATAAAGGCTTCTTGATCCCATCAGCTGTCCAGAACTCTTTTAATACTTTGTCACTTATTTTCTCATTTTAATTAACTTGGTTTGTAAATTCCCTGTGGACAAATTCTGCATAGTATCTTCCATATTTTACCACTATATCAACAATATAGTAGGCTGGCCTGCCAGGATGTTCAGCTGACATTTTTTGCTCAGGAACTTCGGTGTGGTATAGACTGAGGTAGAAGGCTTTAGTGTCCTTGGAAGTGGAAGCAAGTAGCTGGTTAGAGTTTCTTGGATTATGTGGGACCTAGCTTTAAGTAAAATAAGTGTTCTTTCTAAATCAAGAATTGAAATGTTTTGGGGGGTCAGCAGTGTGGCTATAATGAAATAAATGAAAACTTATTTTAAAGTCAGCACATAGCATTATTGCCAATTTTTTTCTGTTAGATGCTTTGGCATTATGTTAAAGGTTTTTGCCTGGCTTAAAAGATTTTAAAAATTAATTTTCCTTCTTTTTATTCTTTCATAGTTTCAAGCATCCCTAGTAAAAAAGATTAAGAAAGATACTCATTAACAGCTAATACTGAGTTCTTATTTTGACATTGTGCTGAATGCATAATGTAAATTATTTGATAAATTATTATAATGTAAATTATTTGCAAGGTCAGAACTAGTAGGAGGTGGAGTCAGACCTTGAACTCGGGTCTGAAACTTCAGAGCTCTTGGTTTCATCTAGCCACTAGAAATTGCAAATGAGAGTATACTTGCCCTTTAAAGGCACCAGCTGCTTGATTTTTAAAGTCCAGTTACTAAGTTCTGTCAAGCTATTACCATACAGAAATTTAGCCAATGTTGCTAAAGCTTCCAATTTTTCAGGAAAAGCCAGCATCTGGACTTTTACACAAAATCTAATTTCTTAACATTGGTAACTAATTTAAATTAAAACACACACATGGTGTGTAGGTCAAATAAACCACATTGGTTCCCAGTTGTGACAACAGTTCTATTGTCACAATATACTGCTTCTCTTAAGAAGATGGTTGCCTTATTTCCTTCTTATATTTTCTTACATATTTTTTTATTCTCTCTAGATTATTGTTCTTTGTAAGGGGAGTTTTTCTAAAGTTTTTAAAAGTCTCTTAACTATTCTTAAGTAAATGATAGATTAAACTTACTGTGCTTTTTATAAAAGTTATAGTTGAGATGAATTATCTTTGTACTAGAATAGTCGTGCTATGAATTCCGATACTTCATTTTTATTATATTTTCTCTAGACCTGGTGATGACTGGAAAAAGACTTTAAAACTCCCTCCAAAGGATCTAAGAATCAAAACTTCTGTAAGTTGGTTGTAAAATTTCACTTAAAATGTAGAAACTCTAAAAATGAAGTCATTACTTAGTAATAACAATGGGCACTATGGGTTAACTCTTAAATAAGTTGAAATGGTTGGAATTGTATTGGGTTGCCCAAAAAGTTTGTATGGTTTTTTCTGTAAAATAAAGACATTTTTCACTTTTACCAATAGCTTTATTGATTTGGATATTTTGAATTTGTCAGCTGTCTTTCCCATGGTATAACGTTGCTTGTTTTTAGTTAATGTCTCAGTTTGATCACTATCAACTTGAATTGGTCTGCCTAACAATGGAACATTGTCCAGTGAGGAATCTCCAGCACGAAACCTTGCAAAGTACTTTTGACACTTTTGATCAATCACAGCATCTTCTCCACACATCGCACAATTTTTTTTTTTGCATTTCATCTGCGTTTTTACTTTTCTTGCAATAATCAAACATAATACACTGAAAGTGTTGTGTATCTTCTGTCTTCAGTATTAAAATGTCTACATAAAAATTCAGCAATTTTGATGTTTTTTTATGCATACGGATATGACAGCTATTGTAGTACAGTCTTAACAAAATTGTTTCAAGTGAATTTAATGACAGCTAAGCACTACTAGAGCCATCTTACAGGAAAAAACCAAATGAACTTTTTGGCCAACCCAATAGATCAAATGAACTTTCTGGCCAACCCAATAGAACTTTTTGGTAAATTGCCAAAAATGCTCATTATTTGTAGGAATTATATTAATACGTGTATTTACATATTAATATTTATATGTATGTATATCTTGTTTTACGGAATAATGATTTTCAAGGCATATTCTCTTTTCTTCAGTAAGAGTGAAGTTAGGGCCCTGGCTGGTGTGGCTCAGTGGATTGAGCACAGGTCTGTGAACCACAGAGTTGCCAGTTTGATTCCCAGTGAGGACACATGCCTATGTTGCAGCCAGGTCCCCAGTTAGGGGCATGCAAGAGGCAACCGCACATTGATGTTTCTCTCTTTCTACCTCCCTTCCCCTCTCTCTAAAAAGAAATAAATAAAATGTTTTTTAAAAAGACAGAGGAAGGCTAGGTATTATCTCCATTTTGTGGATGAGAAATTAGAGTTGACAAGTTAGTTCTCTAAGCTCATTATTTTCAAGCAGGGGTGAAAATAATGGTTTGTTTCCAAGGGGTGTTCAGCAATAGCTGAACATAAAAACATTTTTGGTTATCACAGCTGAGGAAATGCTATACAGGACAGCCCCTTACAACAGTGAATTTTCTGGCTCAAATGTCAGTATGCTGAGCTTGAGAAACTCTGATTTTGATAAGGATATTAGTAGGCAGTGAGTGATGGAGCTAGAGTTTGACTTCATATCTTGTGATTTGCATTTCACAGCATGATTCTTAATAGTATTCCACCTGTCATTAAAAGAATATGACCACAGGCTGGCTTTTCCCCCCCAAACACAGTTTTTAAATGGGTTGTGTGTATTAGTGATTATTATTAAGGAATAGTTGAAATGTAGATCAAGATAGCTAGTATACATATATTTCAAATGGGGTAAAGAATTAGTTTATTCAAACAGACTTTCTTAAGCATGCTAACTACCAAAGGAACACAGTTGTGCTTTATTCTTCTATTATTATTGTTTGTTTGGTTAATTAGGATGTAACCTCCACAAAAGGAAATGAGTTTGAAGATTACTGTTTGAAACGGGAGTTACTGATGGGAATTTTTGAAATGGGCTGGGAGAAGCCATCTCCTATTCAGGTATGTTTCCCCTTTTTATCACATGTGTAATGTTATGAGTGAAGCATTACTATGTACTTTTTGTTTTTATCTGTGGGGATAATAAAATGGACCAATATTTCTTACGTGTGTGTACATACCCACACATGTTTACGTGCACATATACTCTTTTCCTGAGCCTTTTAAGGGTAGGTTGTAAAATCATGGCCCATGATCTAAGTATTTCAGTGTATTTCTCAAGAATAGAGATATTCTCTTGTATATCTATAGTATTGTTGTCTCCTATAGTATAGTCAAGTCAACATTATATAATATTTCTATCTCAACTGTCATTTGTATTTTAATTTGTAATTGACCCCAGAATGCAGTTTTTAGCATTTTTTTCCTCTCCTGTACAAGATCCATCCTAGGATTGGGTATTGCATATAGTTCTGGTCTCTTTAATAATGAGCATTTCCCTAGTCTGCCTTGGTTTTTTATGACATGGACAGTAAAAGTATAGCCCCCTTCCTTTTTTTAATAGAACATTACTCAATTTGGGTTTGTCTCATGTTTCTGTGTGATTAAAGTAATTTTTAGCCAAAATACTATAGATGTCATGTTATGGCTGCCTCCGAGTATCACATTTGGAGGTATACACATTGTCTGTTTCTTATTGGTGATTTTCATTTCTGTTACTCTATCAAGGTTGTGTCTGATTTTTGTACAATACAATTGCAGCTTTTTTCCCCTTTACCCTTGCAACTAATAAGCTGTCTGTAGGATCACTTAAATCATGTAGAGATCCAGCTCTTCATTAAAGTTTCTCTTAGTCTTAGCACCGATTGATGATCCTATCTTTGTTGGATTATGATGAGTTTCCAACTCTAGGACTACTTCCACATTTGGCTTTTTTTTTTTTTTTTTTAATCTATATAGAGGGGAAGGGAAGGCGAGAGGGAGAGAAATATCAATGTATGGTTGCCTCTGTCTGTGAACTGGCCTGCAACCCAGGCATGTGCCCTGACTGGGAATCGAACTGTGATCCTTTGGTTCACAGGCCCATGCTCAATCCACTGAGCTCCACCAGCCAGGGTGACATTTGGCCTTTTGAAGAATAGCCTTCCCCTATCTCCTATGTATCTATATATTATTGGTACGGGGTCATGATTTTTTTTTTTAACCAATGCTATTTTTTGTGCTCAAATTCCCAGATTTGGCCAGTGGGAGCTCCTTCAAAGTTGTTTTGTAATGTGCCCCTCTTTTTTTCTAATAGACTGTTTTTAGAGCAGTTGTAAGTTTACAGCAATTGTGCAGAAGATAGAGATACCCCATATATCCCATCCCCACTTATGCATAGACCCCCTTGCAAGAGTGATACATTGTGATACATTTGTTACAACTGATGACTTATACATTAACATGTATCACCCAAAGTCCATGGTTTACTAAGGTTCACTCTTGGTATTGTATGTTTTGTAAGTTTGGACAAATACATAACATGTATCTACCATTATGGTATCATACAGAGTAGTCTCACTGCCCAAAAAAATCCTCTGTGCTCCACCTCTTCACCCCTCCCTTCCTCCTTCATTTTTCCTGAGTACTTGTTGGCATATCATGATCCCAAGCTTATCTATACCTACCCACCTCAGCCTTGGAATCAGCTGTTACTCCAGGGAGCCCTGGTTCTAATCAGTGGGGAGTAGTATTAGAGGCAAATGTACTTAGAGGCTTAAGTACTAGGTGCATTTGTTCTCTGTTCCTTTCAGTGGAAAGAGCAAGGGAATATATATGTATATGTATATAGTGTGTGTGTGTACACGTGCACACACGTAGGTATAAATATGCATTGTACATATACAGATGTGTTAAACATGTCTATTTTCCTCATGTAAATTAAAACTGTTGTATCCAGGCTGTATTAAGGAATAACACCTATGACATCATTGAGCACTTTTTCATTGAGCAAATAGTGAGTGACCTGGGAAGTATTAGATGGAATGTTGTGGTGAACAAGGCAGAAGGGATTCATGCCTTCACAGTCTGGTAGAAATGGCAACTAATTATACAGATAATTTCTGTATAATAATACTTTCTAGTTGAACTTGCACATATATGTAGCCATTAGATGAAGATGGAATAATCTACAACCAAGAAGAAGAATCATCAATTCATGTTCTAAGCCCAGAATTCTAGGATAGTGATTGATTGCCCAGGGGTGGAAATGTGCCTTTGTGGACAAAATGAAAGAAGTTTAATATGGCTAGAGAAAGTATCAAGATAAGGTTATACAAGGGGGGATCCCCCCCAAAAACGGAATTATCTTCTGGAGGATAAGCTCCTTATAGTGCAGGCTTCTCCTGCTAGGTGAGTGTGTTAGGAACCCATCTAGATCAGTATACCAGCTGGCGTTGTTGTGAGAGGCTGCATTCATCTTCAGTCTTTTATGTATTTATTTTGGGGGGGGGAGTCTCATTGTACGTGTTTACCCCATTTCATGATGGGTGGTTTATAAGCACACCTGCCCACACTGCGCTGAATGTTCAGCAGTTTTTGACCCAAAACAACATGACCCCCACATCCCACCCTCCCTGTTTACCCAATCTCACCCAGGATGACCCTCCCCCCCCATGAAAAAAGTCCTCAGAGGGAAATGTTTTGCTGACATGGAAGAGGTGGGGAAAAAAGGCAAGCACCCTTCAAATTTACATATTTGGAAACTGTTTAGAGCAGTGGAAAAAACATCTCAATAGGTATATTGCATCAGCTGGAGTGTACTTTGAAAGTGACTGAAGTTTAAACATGTAAGAATAAATACACAATTTTTAATAAATAAATTCTGGGGGATATTGGGGGCTCCTCCTTATATGTCATCAGATAGGTAATTTAAATGTAGATATCACAAATATTTACGAACTACTTTTCTACAATGTAGTTCTGTAGGAATGAAAAGTCTTTTTACATATATATATTGCATATGCTATTACTGTAGTCCCATTTTCCCTATTTTTTTTTCCCTCCACCCTGCACACCCCCTCCCATCTACATTCCCCCCCTTTGAGTTCATGTCTATGGGTCATACATATAAGTTCTTTGGCTTCCATGTTTCCTATACTATTCTTAACCTCCCTGTCTATTTTCTACCTACCATTTATGCTACTTATTCTCTGTACCTTTTCTCCCTCTCTCCCCCTCCCCGACTGATAACCCTCCATGTAATCTCCATTTCTGTGATTTTTTTCCTCTTCTAGTTGTTTGCTTAGTTTATTTTTGTTTTAGTGTGGTAGTGAATAACTAAGTTTGTTGTCATTTTACTGTTCATATTTTTATCTTTCTTAGATAAGTCCCTTTAACATTTCACACAATAAGGGCTTGATGATGATGAACTCCTTGAACTTGACTTTATCTGAGAAACACTTTCTCTCCCATTCTAAATGAAATCTTTGCTGGATAGAGTAATCTTGGCTGTAAGTCCTTGCCTTTCATGACTTGGAATACTTCTTTCCAGCCCCTTCTTGCCTATGAGGTTTCTTTTGATTAATTAGCTGAGAGTCTTATGGGAACTCCTTTGTAGGTAACTGTCTCCTTTTCTCTTGCTGCTTTTAAGATGCCTTCCTTCTCTTTAATCTTGGCTAATGTAATTATGATGTGCCTTGGTGTTTTCCTCCTTGGGTTCATCTTCTTTGGGACTCTCTGAGCTTCCTGGAAGTCTGTTTCCTTCTCCAGGTTGGGGAAGTTGTCCTTTATTATTTGTTCAAATAACTTCCACTTTTTGCTCTTTCTCTTCTCCTTCTGGCACCCCTATAATTCGGATGTTGGAACTTTAAAGATGTCCTGGAGGTTCCCACACCTCTCCTCATTGTTTTTGAATTCTTGTTTTTTTTTCATTCTCTTCTGGTTGGATGTTTCTTTCTTCTTTCTGGTCCATTCCATTGATTTGAATTCCAGTTTTCTTCCCATCACTATTGCTTTCCTGTGCATTTCCCTTCATTTCAATTAGTTTAGCCTTTATTTTTTTCATCCAATTTGTGACCAAATTTAACCAATTCTGTGAGCATCCTGATTACCAGTGTTTTGAACTATGCATCTGATAGGTTGACTGTCTCTTCATCGCTTAGCTGTATTTTTTCTGGAGCTTTGATCTGTTTTTTGTTTGGGGCTTGTTTGTTTGTTTTGTTTGTTTGGTCTTGACCAGCCTGTTACATAGTGAGGGGTGGAGCCTTAGGTGTTCACCAGGGCTGGGCAACCCAGTTGCTAGGTTGTGACACTGTATGTGGAGAATGGGTCAGAGAGGGAACACTGCCACTTGATCGAGTCTCTGCTGTCTTTCAGTCACTTCCCCCACTTCCCACAAGTGAACTGGGACCGTCTAGTGCTGATTCCCAGATGGGTGGTTTGTGTACATTCTAGGACCCTGTGAGTCTCTCCAGTGAACTCTCCTGTGATGCTGGGAGTTTCTCCCGCTACCTGAACCCCCAGGTGTTTTCAGTCAGTGGTTTGATGCTTTATTTCCCCCTGCTGGGATCCTGGGTTGTACAGTCTGTCCCACTCCCCTCTTTCGCCTGGTTTATCTGTATGCAAATGGGGGACGGCCTGGTCAGAAATCCATCGCCTCGCTACTTTGCAACAAGCCCTCTTCCCCAGTCGCCTGTCTCCACCCCTTCCACAGGTCTGGGTGAATGTTTCTTCTTTAACTCCTTGGTTATCGGACTTCCATACAGTTTGATTTTCTGGCAGTTCTGGTTGTTTTTTGTTTTTAAATTGTTCTTCTTTTGGTTGTGTGAGGAGGCACAGTGTGTCTACCTATACCTCCATCTTTGCTGAAAATCTCTACTTTCTCTCTTCACTTGCTTTCCTGTTTTGGTTCCCCCCTCCCCCCCAAAAAAAAGTATTGTTTTACCAGACATTTTTTTCCCCCTGATAAAAGCCTTCTTGATCAAATGGATGTCATCCTCATTTGAATCTTCTTTAAGAGATAGAATGTAGTTGCATTTTGGCTATAAGATTACAGGAGAGTGAGGCACTTAAAATTATATCCTTGCCAAAGAAGATTTTACACTGATAGGCTAGAACAGGGTATACTATGGATTGTTCCCACACATCTTCCTTTGGTCCACCATCTGTGACTCTAGTTCTATGTGCCCAGCAGAGTAACTATGCCATTGTAAAGACATCTTCATATAGAAACACAGATTGTGGAGGGCATAAGAACTTGCTGTGTTATTTTGCTTAACATTGTGAAACTTTATATTAACTTTGAGATGATTGAGAGGTGGTAATTTTTGCTGCTTCCAGACTCTAGATATAGGTTTTGAAGAAATATTAGATAAGGTGATAAAATGGCAGGCTGTCCATTATAGAAAGAAACATGGAAGTTTCTTACTGTTGTTGACTCAATTCCCTATCAGACCAAGAATCTGAAATTGTTTTGCCAACGGAGTCTAAAAAGGGTTGATAGTTTATTATTTATAGTTAGGAATTATAGCATTCTTAATCTTTTTGTAAATCATTCTTCCTGCTAACACGGACTTACTATGACTAAAAGAAATTTTTTCTAAATTCTCACACACACACACAAAAAAACCTAATGCATTTTCCCGTTGATTACTGTAGTAAAATTGGATGTGTTCTTTTAAGTTAGATATTGTTGAAATTATTGTCTTCCATTTTCTTTTTTCTAGGTAGCAGTAGGTATTTGTATAACCATTGCTGTCACCTTCACAGTGCTCATTTCCTCCCCTGAAATTTAGGTTTGTAAGCCCACCTGGCCCTTGGAAGTAAAGAGCAGCAGCTGCTCTATAAGCAGCTAGTTGGGCAGTTTTGAGCTATTTCGGGTATTACACTTGTGTAAAGTGCTCCTTAGTACTAGGAAATTGGAAGCTATGCCATTCTTATATGCAACAGAAGCCAACTCGGGCTAATTTAAACAAAAGGAAATTCATTAGAAGAATATTAGAAGTTCATGAGTAAGGTTAAGGAGAAGTCTGAAGGAGCACAATTGAAATTAATTGGCCAAGAACTGAGAAAGCTCTGAAGGGTTTAGGAAGCTGAATTGTTAATAGGATGTGCTATAATAATTTGAATTCTGAGAAGGGAGCATTCAGCTGGCCTGGCTTTAGCCATTGTCTATCATTTGCCTGGGGAGGTTGGCTAGACTATTGATATATTGAGGTGGGGGAGATGTAATTCCTCAGAAGAACGTTAAAGTTAGGGTGCTTCTAAGAAAGGGAAATGGATACTAAGGTAACCAAAACATGGAACATGGACTTGAAGAGCTCTGGTGGCATGATTTTGCCACCATCAAACCCAAGTTTGTGGGGTTGATGGGTTATAGTAAACTATAAATCATATATCATGCAATTCACACATTTATGATTCAATATTATTTTATTGTATGGCTATACCATGTTTGGTTTATCCATTCATCAGTTGGTAGGATTGTTTCCACTATTAGTTATTAGGAATAATGCTGCCATGAACATTCATGAACCAGTTTAGCATAGAGATGTTTTCATTTTGAGGGAAATACATATCTGGGAGTGGAATTGCTGGTTCTTACACTAATAATCTTTAACCTTTTGAGGAGCTGCCAGGCTGTTTTCCAAAGTGGCTATATACTCCCCCTAGCAGTATATGAGGGTTCTTATTTCTCCACATCCTCACTTACACATTGTTATCTGCAGACCCTAGTTTCAATTTTGGTTCTAGCATTTCTTGCTTTGTGACCTTGGGCAAAACAATTATTCTCTGGGGATCCTTTTTGTCAGTTGAGAAACAGAAAGTACTAGCTTGAACGGAAATAAATAACATATGGTAAACTACCTAGTAGAGTACCTTGCATACAGTGAGCATTTAAAGAATTTTTAGCTTCCTTTCTTTTTTTCTTTTCCTTGGCAGTTTCCCATGATTTCCTCTTGGGTTTCAAAGCTGTCTGAGCCAGACTTGAATTTTCTTGCTTCATTACCTAGTCTCCTAGGAGACAGTTGGATGCACTGAATTTCCAGACTAATCATTATGGCCATAATACAGGGGAAAATATGAGTATATTTTAACTTAGAGGCTAGATTACTTACTCTGTTAAAAAGCCTTATCCTTAAACCGTTTCTTTAGGGCATAAGCCCTATCAAAGAGAGCAGAGGAATAGAAGTCAGTGGCCTCAATCTAAATCAAATAACGTACCCAAAATGTGAATGAGAATACCCTCAAATTAATTCTACCTGCCTCGCTTATTGAAAAGTTTGTAGTTTTAAAGGACCTGGCTCAGAAAAATCATTAGAAGACTCATGGAGACCATCTGGCCTCTTTTCTCCACAACCACCCCCCCCCACACACACACACAGAACTACAGGTAGCCTGTTGAAAAATCATAGAAGAGAATGAACCAATGGGGATAGGGGATAATGGATCTTAAGAACAATTGACAGTTGACTCAAAGTTGGAGGAAAAAAATTCAGACCAGGTGGTCAAAGCCAAGGTTTTCTTCTTTGACCCACTTTAACGTAAGAAATAGACTGTTTAATGCTGGTTATAGGAACAAGAGAACAGTACTGTCACTGGACCATTTTCACAGTTCTGGCGGCTGTGTTATTCTGATCACATGGAAACCATCTCACCCTTGTGATTGAGGTTCTAGGTATGATAGAATGAGTGTCATGATGGGAAATAGAAATCATTATGCTTACAACTTAGGTGTTTTGTTTGTTTTAAGATCTTATTTTATTTCTTTTTTTTAGACATGAGGAAGGGAGAGAGAAAGAGGGAGAGAAACATCAATGTGTGGTTGCCTCTCACACACACACCCCCCCCAACTGGGGACATGGCCCACACCCAGTCATGTGCCCTGACTGGGAATTGAACTGGCAACCCTTTGTTTTGAAGGCCCAGTGCTCAATCCACTGAGCCATACCAGCCAGGGCTTATGACTTAAGATATTTTTACATTAAACATTTTTTAAGTGCTGGGGAGATTATTTCTGGTCATTAGTTTAGGCATAGAAAGAACTAGTTATTACAGTGACTATAAATCTCTTTCCTGATTTATTTTCCTCATTTTTTCGTTTTAGAAACAAACTAATTTTTTTGAGAAATAGGAATGTTCTGCTTCCTCTCTGTTTATGTCTGTTTTGCCTTTATAGTTTCCTATATATATGTATTTAATTTTCATTAAATTGTTGAGAAAACTTTGCTGTTGTCTGGGAAATTTGTCCTGAGTCACTGTATTTTTTGCCCACCCCCACCCCAATTTGGGAGGAATAATGGTTGTTAATGCTGCTGTTGAGTTCTGTTAACATTTATATTGGTGAAATACTATGTTATTTATGTTATTAAATATTTTACCACATTTTTTGTTTCAAAATTTTTCTCCTATTTTCCTCTAGAACCTAAGTGTGTCTTATGGTCTAAAAAATATTGGTATTTGGAAATTTTTCTTCTGCAAAACACACATGATAGAATAATTTAAACATTAAAATGAGAGTCACCTTCAGTGATATGTCCATGGATTGAGATAACTTAAAATAAAATTGAGTCTCTAAGCATGTTTCAGGACAGAGAAGTTAAAAACATCAAATAGGACCTCAAGTTAAACTTTTTCATCCTGTTCCTGCTTTGTGCAAGGATAAGTTGTCCAAGCTACAATTTTTCATTGTAAAATTGGCTTACTAATCTTAAAGTATCATATATAGTCTTTGCTTTGTTTTTGTGTAATTTTTTCCTCCAATTTTTAATTGTGAAATGACTTCTGCCTTTTTTCTCCCTGTTTATGTGCCAGCCCATGTTTCTCTTGTTGCTCAGCTTCCTTGGCCATATACACTCTCACACATATATACTCAACATGTAGTTTTTATCACATTGGGATACAATATAAAATGTATTCCACAAACAGTTTTGGTAAATAATTGGTTGATAATGAAGGTGATGTTGACTTGTCCTGCTAATTTACTTGGTCTTTACTTATTCTTGTAACATGTAAGGAGGACACAGGTTTTTTTTTTCTTTTGAAGCAATACCAAAGAGGTATGCCTTCAGTGTATTTTAAAGAAGAATTTGTTTACGTGCGTTTTTATTCACAAGTAATTTGCATTGTCTTATCTCTTTTAGGAGGAGAGCATTCCCATTGCTTTATCTGGTAGGGATATTTTAGCTAGAGCAAAAAATGGAACGGGCAAGAGTGGTGCCTACCTCATTCCCTTACTTGAACGGCTAGACCTGAAGAAGGACAATATACAAGGTTAGCTGTTTAAACTAAAAATGACAGTTTAAATCTTGTAGCTATGTATTAATAGAAGGTAATTACCTTTTGTTAGAATTTACACAATCTGGAATCAGTATTTACCCTTTCTTTTCACAGCTCTTTAAAGAGATTTGTAGTTTTCAGAATATTTTTTACATATTACGCAGTTTTGACAATATTCCAGTGAGATAAGCAGAGTTACTGCCTTACAGATTGGAAAATTAAGATCATGAGAAGTTCAATTACCTCATGTTATTACTTAAAAACTACTAACTGTGATTTCACTTATATGTGAAATCTAATGAACAAAATAGACATAAAATAGAAAAAGACCTGTGGAACTGAATTGTTTCTGTGGCAACTTGTGTGTCTGCAAGATTCTTATAGAAACATGAACTTTTTTATTTTTAAGCCGCGTGGTTTTAGAATTTTAAGAGCTTAAAAGAAACAAATTTCCATATTTGTACCCAGAGTAAGCTAATAGAGTTTAGTTTTCACTTCTAAAGCATTTTCTTAAATCCTCAGCATTTATGAGCTATAATTATCATTCTCCCATCTTCACTTTACATACTTTCATATGATGTAAATGAACCTGGGCAGCAGGAGTTTCATATTTGAGTGTTTAGTGAGACTCATACTGAAATACTAAATTAATAAACCTTCAGCAAGTTGCCAACTCAAAGAATTCTTTAAAGTTTTGTAACTAAGAATAGTACAAGACTTAAACTTTTAAAATATATTATGTTGTTGTTTTCTCTTGCTTGATATTTTCCAGCAATGGTGATTGTTCCTACAAGAGAACTTGCTCTACAGGTCAGTCAAATTTGCATCCAGGTCAGCAAACACATGGGAGGAGCCAAAGTGATGGCAACCACAGGAGGAACCAATTTACGGGATGACATAATGAGGCTTGATGATACAGGTAGAAAATAACTGATATAAGGTGGCCTAGCTTGCCAACTGTAATTTCACACACTGGTGTTTCCTTTCAGTGACTTACTAAAAATTGTTTTTAAGAATAAATGAAGAACAGAAACATTGTAGTAGAAAAATGAGTAAAGAAAAGAAGTTTCATCCAAGAAAATATAAACGGCAAATTGCTATGTGCCTTTCTGATTGGGAAGATCAAAAAAAGTCAGTATTCAATAATGTGAGTTTGTGGCAAAATAGTGTGTCTTGCAGCATAGGGGTATAAGACAAGTTGGCATCGTATTTCAAAATTATAAACGTATTTTCAAGAATCTTCCTTGAAGAAATGATTGGACAAATGCAAGATTGTTTACTACTGTGTAGTTGTGTACTAGTGAAAAACAGTAATAATCTAAACATAGAGGAAAGTGAATGGAATTCCACACAATCATTAAAGAATGAAGCTTATCTGTTTTAATTTTTATGAGTTCTCCATGATTCATTATTGTGTGAAAAAAGATAAAACAGCAAGAGATACACTTACATAAAATTATATATAGACTTTTAGTCAGAATTTCATAGTTGTCATTAGATTAATTATAAAATTCTTCATTCTGCACAATTATTTTAAATTATCTCCTTTGATTCTTATAATGATCTTGTGAAGACCATTACTTTAGTCAAGAGGCAATCTATTGTATCAAAAGCCTGGTGTGCCTTTTGTTATTCATTAGGGATTGTCCTAAAACAGGAAAATACGCCCTTCATTTGGAGCAGGTGATTTGGGAAGCTGAAGCTCACCCCATGTATAGGTGAAACAAACAAGTATTCTCTTAACCAACCTAAGATGCAATGGAAACCCATATCTTAAAACACATCTTTGCCTCTTTGTGCTACAATTCTCCCTTTCAAGGGATATGTGCTAAGGCACCCCTGCACTCCCCCTTGGATGCCTGAAACTTAGGATAGTACCAAACCATATATATATATATATAATGTTTTTTCCATATATGTATATACACCTATGATAAATTTATAAATTAGGCATTTATTAACAACAAGAACTAATAATAAATTGGAACAATTATAGGAAAATGTGCTATATAATATGTGGCCCCTCTCTGTTCACATCTACCACCCCAGATTTGTTAAGATGGAAAAATCTTAACTAAGCATTTAATACATTGCAGTCATAACTTACTCATTTCGAGGTGCAGCAGCAAAATTAGCACAATTTTTTCCCCACAATTTCACAGGTAAAAGGTTGGTTCTTGTCATAGATCTTAGCAAACTCGGCATACAGGTTTTTTTTTTTAATTATGTCAGGAGTTTTCACCTTTTCACTTAAAGGAAGCACTTTTATTTTTCACCTGGAGAAGCACTTTGGCATACCCAAATTGCCGCTCTTGTGCTTTGGGCCATTTAATTCTTAAGTTGGCCAAAAAGTTCATTTAGTGTTTTATTTTGTGTTTTTTGTTTGTTTGGATGTCCCTCCCCCCCTAAAATAAAAGATATTTTTCATTTTCACCAATAACTGTATTGATTTGGGTATTTTGAGTATGTCAGCTATCCCCCACATGGTACAATGTTGATTGTTCTCAGTTAATGTCTCTTAATTTGATTACTATTAACTTCAACTGGTCTACCCAACTGTGGAGCATCATTCAGGTAGAAATCTCTAGCATGAACTTCACAGACCACTTTTGACAGTTACATCAATTACATTACCTTCTCCATACACTGAATAAATCTTTTTTTGAGTTTCAGTTGTGTTTTTACCTTTCTTGAAATAATAAAGCATAATATACTGAAAATATTGCATATTTTCTTCTATCTTCAATATTTAAATGGCTACACAAAAATTCACCAATTTTGATTTTTTTTAAATGCACACTGATATAATACCTGTCACAATACAATCTAACAAAATTGTTTTAAATGAAGTTAAAGATACCTAACCTCTAGTAGGACCACCTTAGGGAAGAAACCAAACACTCTGACCAACCCAATAAAATAAATGTACACAAGCACTGAGGTACAGCAACCTAACAACCTAGATGGCAGCTAAGTGATGTAACAGGTGGGTAGCAGATATATTAAACAAAGGGATAATTTACATTCTAGGCAGGATGTGGAAGGGTGGGAGTTTTCATGGTACTACTCAGAATGGCATGTTATTTTTAAAGCATATGAATTGCTTATTTCTGGAATTTTCATTTAATATTTTCAGACTGCATTTACCATGGAAAGTAAAACTTCCATGGATAAGGAGGACTACCTCTACAACAAGATTTCTGATTAAATATATATTTTAAAATGTTTATATATACAAACCTTTACTACATCTTTTTGGCCCAAGCTAAAATTAATGAGAATGTGTTTTCTAATCTTGTGTAGTGCACGTGGTAATAGCTACCCCTGGGAGAATCTTGGATCTTATCAAGAAAGGAGTAGCAAAGGTTGATCATGTCCAGATGATAGTATTGGATGAGGTAATGTCTCTTTATTTGGAAAGATAATATTCTGTAGTAGTATGTGCTTCTTTACTGTAACTGAAGCAAAGGTGCTATGTGTTTTATGACCTAATAAGCATGGCTTTCGTCAGTTCATACTAATTTGCTTATAAAACATTTTATAGGAAGTGTGATCTTTATATAAATCTGTATAAATGGAAAAAATTTTCACAATTGAATATGTATTATTTTTGTTAAAAACTATACCTTAAAGAGCTTTAGAGTAAAAATATAATTCACATGAAAACAAGGGGCACTAAATGATGGGAATTTATAGGAATTGTTCCATCTTGTGTCTGACTTGGGGGGACACAAGGCAGTTTGGGCTTTTTTCTGGTTTTCCAAGAAGAGAAGTTGTTGAGCAACCTCAAACCAAGTTAATTCTCTTTCCATTCAGTGGTACATCTTAAAAAGCATGTAATATCTGTGACTCCTCATTTAGCATATAAGACTTTGTATGGTTTGGTTTTTCAGACTGTGTTATACATGTTGTCTTACCAGGTAATGAGTGCCTTTTAAGTACTTACTTAGCTCTAGTGTTGTATATTTGCATTAATGTCAGTGTTAATATTTTGAAATAAAGTTACTTGCCTTGTTGGTCTGTGTTTTAGGTAACTAGATGAGGTTGATCATGGTCTAACTCAGATCAGAGTTCTTTGTGGGTTTTTTTGTAATGAGAGATAACATATTAGTCATTTACTAACACCAAGTACTACATATGTTTTTTTTTTTTTTTTAAAATTTTTGCAACAACCTTTTAAGGTAAGTATTCTATAAAGTAGTTACTACAGTGAGTATACAACCTAATTTTAAAATTAATGGAATCTGAAGTATTGATTGGTTAAGCAACCTCATAAGTGAAGGAGACAAGATTTCAATCCAGGTAATTTGACTCTGCAGCGTATATCAGTACTTTGAACCACTGTACCATACTGCCTTTTTAATGGAAATCACATTAAAATTTTGTTATGGGGAAAAAGCATTATATCTGTCTAGGATTCCCCTACCTCCACCCCTAAAGATGGGCATTAGAGTCCTTTTCCCTTTCTGAATCACTCAGCATATGTCTTGATGCCATTGAATTATGTAGTGTTGTAGAGAATTTAATGTTTACAACTAGGAACATTCCATGAACACTCTTATTGGATGATGCCATATTAACCAAAGACCTTGACATTTTGTGATTGTTTTAAAAATTACCTTCTCTTTGTATTGCAGGCAGATAAGTTGCTGTCACAGGATTTTGTGCAGATAATGGAGGATATTATTCTCACGCTACCTAAAAACAGACAGATTTTATTATATTCTGCTACTTTCCCCCTTAGTGTACAGAAGTTCATGGTGAGTATAACACAAACATACTTGGAAGTGGTGCCAACCTGTTGCCCATGAGAATACCTTTATGCATCATTTATCTTATCAGTCTATACTTATGAATGATTATTTCAGGTTTTTGGCTTTTTGGCTTTTTCTTTTTTTTTTTTTTAAATTTTTTTTTATTGATTAAGCTGTTACAGTTGTTCTATTCCCCCCTTCATTCCCCTCCACCCTACCCCCCCATCCCCACCATTACCCACCCTTTAGTTTATGACCATGTGTCTCAATTCCTTTAGATTCTATATTTCCCATGCTATTCTTGCCCCCCCATCTATTTTCTATCTACTGTCTATGCTACTTATTTTCTGTACCTTCTCCCCCCTTCTCCTCCTCCCACTCCCCTGTTGCTAACCCTCCTTGAGATCTTCATTTCTATGTTTCCACTCCTGATCTAGCTGTCCTTTTAGTTTGCTTTTGTTTTAGGTGTGGTTGTTAATAACTGTGAGTTTGTTGTCCTTTCACTGTTCATGTTTCTTTAACTTCTTTTTCTTCGGTAAGTCCCTTTAACATTTCATATAATAAGGGCTTGGCGATGATGAACTCCTTGAATTTGATCTTATCTGAGAAGCACTTTATCTGTCCTTCCATTCTAAATGAAAGCTTTGCTGGATAGAGCAATCTTGGTTGTAGGTCTTTGGATTTCATGACTTGGAATACCTCTTTCCAGCCCCTTCTTGCCTGTAAGGTCTCTTTTGAGAAATCCACTGACAGTCTGATGGGGACTCCTTTGTAGGTGACTGTCCCCTTAGCTCTTGCTGCTTCTAGGATTCTCTTCTTCATTTTAATCTTGGCTAATGTAATTATGATGTGCCTTGGTGTGTTCCTTCTTGGGTCCAACTTCTTTGGTACTCTCTGAGCTTCCTGGATTTCCTGGAAGTCTATTTCCTTTGCCAGATTGGGGAAATTCTCCTTTATTATTTGTTCAAATAAGTTTTCCACTGGTGGCTGTGCCTTTCCCCTTTCTGGTACCCCTATAATTCAGATGTTGGAGCATTTAAAGATGTCCTGGAGGTTCCTAAGACTCTCCTCATTTCTTTGAATTCTTGCTTCTTGACTCTTTTCTGTTTGGCCATTATTTGCTTTCTTCTGGTCCAGTCCATTGATTTGAGTCCCAGTTTCCTTTTCATTGCTATTGGTGTCCTGTGCAATTCCATTCATTTCAATTAGTTTCGCCTTCATATATTTGTCTAATTTGTGGCTATAATCAACCAGTTCTGTGAGGATCCTGATGACCAGTGTTTTAAACTGTGCGTCTGAGAGTTTTGCTATTTGTTCATCGCTTAGATCTATGGGCTCTGGGGCTTTGAGTTCTTGCGACATTTTTGGACTGTTCTGGCCCTTTAAGTGTGAGAAGCGGCGCCTTGGACTCCCAGGTCGCTGGGTTGTGACGCTGTATGTGGGGCCGTGGTCAGAGCGGGGAAATGGCGACCCCCTCTGCTGTTTCTCACAGCTGGGTGAGGAGCAGCGCCTTAGGTGGTTCACCTGGGCCAGGCCACTCAGAGTCACTGGGTTATGACACTGTATATGGAGGTGGGGTCAGAGCAGGGAAATGGCGGCGCCCTCCACTGCCGCTTGCCGTGGGGACCCGCCCGGCCTGGTCCAACCGCCCACTCCCTCGCCTGTCTGCCCGCGCACAATGCGCGACCACAGTCAACACGCAGCACCACTCCCCCGCTGTCTCCCCCGCGGTCGCTGGCCTGGTGGCTCGCTCGATCGCTCACTAGGTCCAACCCTGCACCCGGATTCCGCGCGTCTGGATTCCGAGTGCCTGCGTCCGTCTGACCAAGTTTTCCTGTGCAACCCCGCTTCACCAGCCACTGGTTTCGCCCCTTACCGGTCAGGCTGAAGAATTTGTTGTTAACAGACTTCCGAAAAGTTCAATTTTCCGTGTTCTGGCTGTGTTTTCTGTTGCTAATATTTAGTTGTCTCTAAACTTGGTTGTGTGAGAAGGCACGGCACATCCACCTATGCCTCCATCTTGGCGGAAGTTCTTTTTGGCTTTTTCTACAGCTGATTAGTTAAGGTTCACTGTGCATAAATTACCTGATTTATTTTAGAGCAGTGATAGTAGTCTGATTAAAGTTTTCATTGTTCACTTAGGTTTTGGTGTCAGGTTGATATAGCATAATGCTATGTACAAAGTACAAAATAGTCACCTAGCTATGTATCTGAATGTTAGATCTCTCATTTAATTATAATTTATTTTTTCCATGACAAATTTTGTCGTGTTTTGAATTTTGGGCTTGTTTTGAAGAGCCGCATTCCCTAAAGCAAGAGTTTATCAGAGATGTATAGGATGTATTTTGAGTTTAAGAGATACACTCTGTTTTTCACTTAAGAACAAGACTCTTCTTTTTTTTTCCTCCCAGAATTCCCATTTGCAGAAACCCTATGAGATTAACCTGATGGAGGAACTAACTTTGAAGGGAGTAACCCAGTACTACGCATACGTAACTGAGCGCCAAAAAGTACACTGCCTGAACACACTTTTCTCCAGGGTAAATAATAGGCTTCAGTTGCTGAACATTATTCATTACTTAACCCCAATAAAAGCGTCCTAACCGCAACTGGTGTGGTTTATTTGGTTGGGCATAGTCCCACAAACTGAAGGGTTGCTGGTATGATTCCTGGTCAGGGCATGTGCCCACAAACTGAAGGGTTGCAGGTTTGGTCCCCAGTTGGGGAACATTCAGAAGATAGCCAATCCTTCCCCTTTTCTTTAAAATGAAAACAGACAATTGTATCGGTTTTCCCACCACTTTAAATGTTTTTTTTTAAAAAGGCCTTAGCTTTTCTTAAAAGTCAGTTTCAGTTGAGCTGAAGTTGATAGGGTATAATTGATAAGTCACAGGCACTTTTTAATTTAATTTTAAAATAGTTTGATCCTAATTACAATTGATGCTTATTGTTTACAGTAATTGTGGTCCTCATTATTTGCAGATTCTGTATTTGCAAATTTGCCAACTTGCCAAAATTTATTTGTAGCCACAAAACCAATACTTGCATGCTTTTGACATTTGTGGACATACATAACACACTGAAATTTTTGAGTCATTGTGCATATTCCCAGCTGAAGTCAAACAAGGTAATATTGCCCTTTTATTTCAGCTCTCATATCATACACCAATATTATGCTTCTCACGGCCTATTTAATGCCTTTTTATTTTATTTTTTTTTTTCATTTTTGTACCTTTTTTGTTGTTGTTTACCTCATTTTATTTTTTTAAACGACCCTTAAACAAAGTGATGTTTTTGTGTTTCATTTATTTTTAGAGAGACGAGAGGGAGGTAGAGAAACATCAATGTGTGGTTGCCTTGAGTGCCCCCTACTGGGGACCTGGCCTGCAATCCAGGCATGTGCCTTGACTGGGAATTGAACTGGTGACCCTTTGATTCACAGGCGGCACTCAATCCACTGAACCACGCTAGTCAGGGTACTAAAGTGATGTTTAATGCACCTAAGTATAAGAGGACTGATGTACCTTGCAGAGAAAAATGTGTTAGATGAACTTTGTATAGGCACGAGTTACAGTGATGTTGGCCATGAGTAAATAACGTGTCTTTAAATGGTAACATAAAACAAGGTTGTCTTATTAATTCAAGAAGCGATGATGAAAAATGTATCACTAGCACCTCACAGGAACTACCCTGTATTTCTCCTAGGAGTAGTGGTTCTATATTCACTAATTTGGTGTTTGCAGCAACCTTATAGAATATAACTATCACAGATAATGATAATTGGCTGTGTTTTACTCTTGCTGGCAATCATGTATCTTTATAAAAAATATACTTGTCAATAAAACTTGTTATTTTCTGCAGCTAGTGAGTTAATATTTACAGTTTTGCATCTCTTGCATCATAAAATTCTAAGTCACAGACCATGGTTTTAACATTTGTTTGCCAGTGTTTTCAAGATGTGCAAAAGTAAATAAAGGGTTTTCTTTCCCCCTTGTGCTCAGCTTCAGATAAACCAGTCGATCATTTTCTGTAACTCCTCTCAACGAGTTGAATTGCTAGCCAAGAAGATTTCTCAACTGGGTTATTCTTGCTTCTACATCCATGCTAAAATGAGGCAGGTGAGTGTAAAACTAGAACTTGAGCAGATTTTTATAAAATCTTCTAAGTATTTATCGGATTTTGTTTTAGATTTTAAACCTCCAGATGCCCTGAGTTTAAGAAATTATTCCTTAATAGGCAAAGGACCCTTCATTAAAAATTCTCAGAGGTTCAGTTTTCTGAGTATAAAATAAAGGTAATAATACAATATTCATCACACAAGGAAGATTGAGACAATGTACAAATGTTTGTAAGCTGTCAAGCATGATACAATTGTGAGACTTTATTCCTTTCCCCAAGTAATCTCTAGATTTGTACTATTTAATAAAATAACCTCTAGCCACATGTGGCAATTTAAATGAGTTTAAATTAAGAAAAATATAAACTTTAGGTTCTCAGTCTCATTAACTACATTTCAAGTGCCACGTTACATGTCACTGTCAGCTACAGTTTTGGACAGTACTGATACAGAACATTTTCATTATGGCAAAAGGTTCTACTGGACAACTCTGCTATGTATTTTTAATGTATCCATGAACCTTCTCAACCAAATGATTTTTCTTTAGAAGAAAAGGATGGAATCTAAATTTCTGAACTTGATTTAACAAAAAATAAAATCAAAACCATAAGAAGACATTTTTTGTGTATGTACTAACGCAAACTGAAATTTCATGAAGAGAAAGCAGTTTCTCTGTAGACTTGTCAGGTTAAGAATTTAAATTAGTCAACTCACATTTGGTTTTCAAAGAAGCGTAATGTCATGGATCAGATTGCATTATCACAGAAAATGTAGGTATTAAGCTGATAAAATATTTTAAAGTGAAAGAATGTTGCACTGAAAAGTTAAGCCACTTTGCCAGATGCTAGATTTATCACTTCTCCTAGAGTCATTGTATATGTTTTTATTTTTGTTTTTAGATTGGAAAGTAGTTCTTTTTAGCTTTTGTATATAATTACTAAAAAGGTAAAATGGGTAGGTGATTTGGTCAAGCCAAACTTTTGGCATCCTCAGTTTGAAACATTTTTAAAGTGTACATATACAGGAATATAGTGAAAATTGTCACTTAAAATTCACTCCAGCAAAAAACAAATACCTGTAAGAGTTAAAATAAATGCTACATATAGATATGCAGAGACAGGTATTAAGTTGCTTAAAAATCCCATGGGACACCAATTTATGGAGGGTTTTTTTTAACCTTTTATAATTTCTGTGTATTGAATTGGCTTATCTCTCATTCGTATAAACAGATTTTGTATAGAAAAAATAATGGGAATTTGGGGCCATTTGTATGACTTCCAATCAAATCAAATGCATTGCTTTGTTCCTAGGAACATCGAAATCGTGTCTTTCATGATTTCCGAAATGGCTTATGCCGCAATCTTGTTTGCACTGGTAAGTATTTCCTATTTCTTGTAATGAATGCTTTTTCCCCTAGTTCTGCTTTGCTTTCTCTCTCCCTGGTATGCAGCAGGAGCCTGTGACATATAGCCTAGCTCACCCAACTAGCACTTCTAGAATTCCTAAAGTTGAGAACTCCCGAAATTAGGTTCTGTACCTGAAACTGCAGAAGACTTGTTCTGGCACTCATATCTTCTTTGTCTTTTAAACCAATTTGGAGTTTGTATGTTTTCTGAATAGTTTCAGCGAGCATACAGGAGTAAATTTATATGTTGCATATGCAAAATTAATCACGTTATGAAACCATCTGTGTTTTAGAAATTGTGGTCTTTTAATCTTTTTTGCCAGAAGCAAACTAGTCTCACTTTTATCGTATTTTACTAGATGAAGAATAACACTGGTGAGGCAGGTGGACATTCTGACAAAGCAAATGGATTCAGTATCCTCCCATCTTAACACTGGGAATGTAATCTTAGTATTGGTGTGAGGTTAACAATCTTACGGATGGAGAGAACAGCCTAGAAATTTTTTCAAATTATTGAGGTATATACACACAGATAGAATGAATCATAAATATATAAGAATTTTTATGTATACACAACATGTAACCAACACCCAGATCAAGATGTAGAGTATTTCAAATTTGTATTTTATTTTTATTATATTATTTTTTTAATCCTCACCTGAGGGCATGGGTTGCCTCTTCTACGTACCATAACCAGGGACCAAAATGGCATCCTAGGCATGTCCCTTGACTAGGAATCAAATCCATTATCTTCCTGTTATGTGATGATGCTCCAACAAACAGAGACACACTGGCCAGGGTTCAAAATTTGTATTTTTAAAAACTGTCCTGGTGGTGTGGCTCAGTGGATTGAATGCCAAAAGGTCCTGAAACAATTAGGGCACGTGCCTGGGTTGCAGGCCAGGTCCCCAGCTAGGGCATGCCAGAGGCAACCAATCAGTGTTTCTCTTACAGATCAATGTTTACCTCTCATTCTCCCTCCCTTCTTTTATCTCTAAAGTAAATAAATAAGAATCTTTAAAAACAAAACAAAAAGTCTGCTTCCCTGGTCAATTGTGGCTCAGTTGGTTGGATTATCGTCCTATAACCAAAAGGTTGCAGGTTGAATTCCCAGTCATGGCACAAACCTAGGTTGTGGGTTTGATCCCCTCTCCTGGTGCATATGATCCCCCCATCTGGGTGCATATGGGAGGCAACTGACCAATGTTTCTCTCTCTCCCTTTCTCTCTTTCTAGAAGCAATGGAAAAATGTCCTCAGGTGAGGATTAAAAGAAAATACTGCTATAGAAATAAACTCCAAATTTTTTGAGCAGAGTATTGAATTTGTAAAGTTATAATAATCAAAAAAAGGACTGTCAAATATCTTGTACACCTTTCTTTTGATCTTGTTTTACTGCCTCACATCCGAAAAACAGTTAATATAGCTGAATTAATACATTTATATTTGCATTTATCAATACCTTTGACTTTTAAATATATTGAAGTATTCAAAATATAAAATATAAAATATTTGATTTAGTGGGAAGAATACTAGACTACTGAATTTTAAGATTAGGGTCCAAGTCCTGCCTTTGTTTATCTCTAATCATAAGGAACTTATCTTTAAGCAACTTATCTTTTTCTTCTATGCTATTTTTTAAAAATCTGTAAAATGGGGATACTTTAAACTGAATTCTGGACAAATATTTGTTGTAGGTTATTGAAAAAAAATTCATTGATATTAAACAAATATTTATTCTTTGCCAGGTACTTAGCTAGGTGCTGCAAAACTATATTCTCCCCTACTTTATGGGATATGCATTTTACCACAATTAAAAATTTGGGGAGCCTATAATCTGCACGAGAAAATAATTAATTAGTGAATTGTTTAGAATTGTTAGGAAAATTCAAATTGTATAGGCAAGGAGAAAGTGTCATTTGCTATTAGGCAGTTCCCTATTTGGTTTTTTTGTTTTGTTTTTTAGGTTTCTGTTTCGTTTGGGTTTTTTTTTGTTTTGTTTTGTTTTGTTTTGTTTTGTTTTGTTTTTTTTTTTAGATTTATTCATTTCTAGACAGAGAGGAAGGGTGGGAGAAAGAGGGAGAGAAACATCAGTTAGTTGCCTCTTGTACACACCCAGCTGGAGACCTGGCCTGCAACCCAGGCATGTGCCCTGCCTGGGAATCGAACCAGTGGCCTTTCTATTTGCAGGCCGCTGCTCAACCCACTGAGCCATACCAGCCAGGACACAGTTCCCTATTTGAATGAGAAATGTTTTTTTCCAAAAGAGTTCATTGTGTTTATAGTACTTAATATGCTGATTTGAATTATTATGGCTAATGGATTTTATTTTTAATCATTACTTACAAGGTTGCCATCATAAGTTTTTGAAAGTTAGTGCTTTCTCCTGTCTGATTTTTGAGATCAACTATATCATTAAGTACTGAGTAATATGTATTAAATGTATAAATAAATACATGCAGAATACCACCCCTTTCTTCAATGAGCAATGGTTTAACCTGTGATAAAAAGGTAAACAATATTAAGTCTAATGCAGGGTCTGCACACTTTTTCTGTAGAATGACAGATAGTAAATATTTTAGACTTTGTACAACATGCAGTCTCTGGTATGAGGTACTCAACTCTGCCATTCTAATTCAAAAGCACCCTTAGACAGTACATAAACAAATGGGCGTGGCCATGAGGCAGCAAAACTTTATTTTGTAAAAACAAGTCTTGGACTGGATCTGTAAAGGTAATTTGCAAATGTGAGGTATGTACACTGTTGACCCTTGAACAACACAGATCAGAACTGCAGTATTTATTGAAATATAAATCTAAAGAAAATGTCAAGATAACAGTTCTTTAAGAACACAATATATAAAACATATCGAATAAAATATGTGCTAATCAACTACTTAGGTTATCAGTAAAGCTTCTGGTCAGTAGTAGGCTGTATTAGTAGTTAAATTTGGGGGGAGTCAAGTTATTCACAGACTTTTCAACTGTTCAGGGGTAGGTGCTCCTGGACCTGCTTTCCCTTCAGTATTAGTCAAGGGTCAACTGTAGTTAGTAAGCTTAAATTTTCATAGGAGAGGGAAGTAACCAGCTGAGGTTATCTGAGAACAGGTGGAATTTTAACTGGCTTTCATAAGCTAGATAAGTTTAATTTAGGACTGGTGTAAAAAGTGATCCATAGGAGGCTAATGTATGTGCAAAGAAGGATGAGTTTGGTAGAGAGAAAAGTTTGAGGAGATGTCAGAAAAGTATGTTAAAAGCAAAATACAGAGAAGAGGACTTTGAATGTCAATTTTAAATTTTATCTGGAGGCAATTTAATGAGTTACAAATTGAGAGTAGTAGTTTAGAAATACTGTTCTGACCATCATGGATTATTTTGTTGGAGTGTGGAACTGATAGAGGCAGAGAAACCTAGTTATTCGCCTGTTTCCATTTATAGTTTTCAGAGCCTAAATTATTGTGGTAATTGTGAGACTAGGAAAGATTAAAAGGGTTGGCTTTGCATATTATCTTACCTCAGACCTATTATAAATAATCTTGCAGAATAGGATGAGTGAATTCTAAACAACATAATTACTGCTAGTGTATTATGGTATTCTGTCATGTATAATACGCACTCACATTTTATGTACATTGTACACAGGATTATTATACCGATGTATAATGTGCATCCTTATTCTTCCCTCAAAAACTTGGGCCCCCAAAAAAACCCCGAAAATGGTGCACGGTATGCACAGCAAAATACACTCCCTTTTTGAAGTATTCAGTGTTACAGAACAAACAATTTTTTAAGATAATTTGCTATTTAATATTAAATACTAGAACACAGACTAATGAAAATAAATTACTGGTCATTTCTGAGGTTCACTTACAAGCTTACCAGTTATGCTGGTATTTATCTATATTTCCAATTACCATAGACCATTTTCTAAAACTTCCTTACAGAACTGGGTAAAGGTAACTTATGAAGAGATTGTTATTTATGATAATAATGCATGAAAGGTAATCCCCGTCATCTGTAAAAATGTATTTGAATTACCAAAAAAAGTAAGTTAATTCAGGTTATACTAGAAATATTTGTTAAATAGTAATTATTATGGTACCAAGATGCTTAAAATTGCTTAAATGCTAAAAAATTGAAAGCTCTGATGGAGAGGGGTTTTTTTGTTTTGTTTTGTTTTTAAGATTTGTTTACCCGAGGTATTGATATACAAGCTGTGAATGTGGTCATAAACTTTGACTTCCCAAAGCTGGCAGAGACCTATCTCCATCGTATTGGAAGATCAGGTGAGGAAAAGAAAGATGTTCTTTATGGAAGTCTTTTGAGAAGTGTATTCATTGGATTCTGTTTTTCTGTGAAATAGAGTTTGGTAGCAATGAGAACAGTTAGTTAAAACTAATTTAGTTGTTTGGTATTTAAGGCTAATTTCTGGTTCTTCCGGAACACTTACTCAAAAACATTAACTACTGTATGTGTAATTTGAGATAAAATTCACAAAGGAGAATTTAACTTTTTTTTATTAGGTGATATAATCAATAACTGCTGTTTAGTATTTGTATTTTGGCAAGTTGTTTTTAATGTTGTGTTTAGAGTGATTTTGCTTTTTCCTTTGTAAGTAACAGCCTAACCTATTCCCAAGTCCCAAATACAGTCTCGGTTTTGGCAACTTTTCACACAAATAAACATCCACATTGTCATTTGAAAAAGGTAAAATAGAGTAGACTAGTTTGGGCTGTAAAACTGAAATAACATGAATTTGAGGAGACTAGAAAAAGTGGTTTTGTTTATCCAGAATGGCACTGAACAAAAACATTAGTCTTCTCTGGTTTTTGACGCTCTCAGACTTGTACACGCCACATTGATTCTCATATTGAACTATTTTTTATACTAATTAAAAAAATTTTTTTGTTAGGTCGCTTTGGTCATCTTGGCTTAGCCATCAACTTGATCACATATGATGATCGCTTCAACCTGAAAAGTATTGAGGAGCAGCTCGGAACAGAAATTAAACCTATCCCAAGCAACATTGACAAGAGCTTATATGTGGCAGAATACCACAGTGAGCCTGTAGAAGATGATAAACCATAACAAGCATGTGCGTACCTTACAGTATAGTTAAGTGAGCATAATGTTAAAAGGAAAGAAATCAAGATCCTCTTTCGAGGGGGAAATTTAATGTCCCCACCATACGTAATAGCAGTAAAACACTTGTTGGCGTAAATAATAAAACAGGGAGTGTCTCTTGGGTGAAGTTGTGGTCTGTCTCATTAGAGAAGAAACTATACTGTTCTTTTTCCATTCTTTTTTTTTTTTTTTTTTTTTTTTAAGATTTTACTTACTTATTTTTAGACAGAGGAAGGAAGGGAGAGAGAAAAAGAGGGAGAGAAACATCATTGTGTGGTTGCCCCTAGTGCCTCCCCCTACTAGGACCTGGCCTGCAATCCAGGCCAGTGCTCAATCCATTGAGCTGCACCAGGCAGGGCAGAAGAATCCACATTGTTCTTGAATACAATCCAAAGTAGTGTGATATATGAGCAGTACTAAGACAAATTCAAACTTCAAAAATAATAAAAGCAAAGAGAATCTTTCAGCAATTTTTTAATGTGAAAATATTATATCATTCTATCCTCTGTTGGAATTCACTAGTAATTTCTAATGGGTACCTCAATAAATCAGGTTAAATTACCTGTAATGCCTTACTGCTGAACGTGTAATTGGGTTATGAGGATAGCTATAATAACATTTTTTAAATGCCCTCTCACTCTGGTTTCCTGCACCTCCCTCTCATTTCATGTTTTGGTGACTCTTTGGGCCCAGCTACACATGCTCAGAACAAGGCTCAACATAAAGTAGTCTATTTTTGGAGTTTTTTCTAAAGAAAATCTGATTTAATTTGAGGGATGATGGTTTCCAAATTAGGAATGAGCATTTTACCTGCCTCAAATTACTCTTTTTTACTTTTTAAAAAAATTTAAATGTCAAACAAAATCTTCAGCCAAACATAAAACTAGCCAGTGTTTGCTAGTATATTGTCAGGCTATTTATGAAGTTTATGTAAGGTTAAAAGAAAATGTTGATTTAAGTATTGTGAATGACTGCTGGCTGTTACCAGAATTTTAAGCCTCTTGTTCTATCTCTAGAATGCCTAGAAGAAATTCTTTAATCCCTTGAGGATTTGTACAGTAGGCAAAAGCTCAGTAGAAGCTATTAGAACATTTGGGATGGGGATTGTGAAAACCTATATACTAGAATTCAGATTGCCTTCAAAGGTGTTAATTTTTAGGTTTCTTCTTTCTTTAGGCTTTGACAAACTGAAGAAGGCTTGTTCGGATCTGTGACACATCATTTTGGGGGGATGCTCTTCTCTTTGTGGGTTTTTCATCTTTTATTTTGGAACTATGAAGACTTAAAAGAGCTCAGACATTTTTTTCTTTTTTTAACTGGTAAAGAGAGAAACCGAAAAAGAAGGAATTTACCTTTTTTGTTCCACTTGTTTGCACTGTGTGCTGACTGAACATTAGTTGCACTAACTGCTGGTTTTTTAAGTGTTTTTTGGGGAAGAAGGGGGACAAGGAAGGAGGAGAAAGAAGGGAAGAAGCCCTAAAAAGAGAAGAATTTTGATGAACATACAAGCTTGTCTACAGTTCCAGAATTCTCAAACAGCTGGTTCTTGAGTGCATTTCAACTTCTCCCTGATTACTCATCTGTTATTTAAGCCTGGAGAGCTTATTACTTATTTGTGCGAAGTGCCTTATGCTATGAGACCATTCAGAATATCATCTTTTAAACACAGCCCAAGAAATCAACAGTAGTAATTTCTTTCCTTTAAAAAAAACAATTTTTTTTTTCATTTTGGTTTCAAGTTGGAGTCTCTCTCTTCCCTTCCTACTCAATGCTCAAGCCCAGGGCTGGAAGATGAAACATATTAGTAATGTTAAATATCATTTCCTTTTTCTTTAAGTGGAGGAGTTGATAATGCAACTGCAGTTCATCCGCACTGTAAATACATGTATTTAAAAAAGAAACTCCCAAGTAAAAATTTTTTCTGGGCTGAGTAGATGCAACATCATCGCTCCCAAAGGAAAGAGCAGTCTATATCATTGCAGGAGCCATATGACAAGCCTTTGTGCTCTATAGCAGAACACTAAAGACTGGTTTACATACGCCTCCATTAGCAGTTATGGCACTTGATGTGTAGACATGTCAGCCTTGACCCTCTTTCCTCTGTGGCAAAATGTGTCCCATAGAAAACTGGGTGTGTATACTTGTATAAACTTTGTAAATAAGTTTTTTTCTGGGTTCATATATATATATGTATATGTATATGTATATATATACACACACATATATATATATACACACACACATATATATATCTATTTTTTTTTTTTGGATGAAGGTTGCTGGGATTAAGGGGATTAGAGTGATTATGGGAGCAGCTAAAGATGAGAGGGGCTCAGTTTTCCGCAACACTAAATTCTAAAAAGTGCTTTGGCCTCCTAGTATAGAGAGCAGACCTCTCTGGGAACCCTATGGTGGAAAAGGGCCCCAGGTGTCCTCACTTTGCTGCCACACTCTCTCTCATGTAGTACCTTCAGAGGAGGAGGCCTATCAGAGGGTGCAAGGAAATTCCAAAACTTAATTTGTGGTGTTATTTTTGAGAGGCTCTCTGATTTTGCTTCTTCCCCCTTTTTAAAAGTTAGGAACTTTTCAAGCTTTGCAAAAGGAGACAGATTAATCTGCCTTGCAGTGTGGGGATTCAGTTAAGTGGCAGTGTATGTATAGAGCATGGGTTTGTGTTTCACAATATTAGCCAGTTTACCAACTTTGGTTAAAATTAGCAGTTCTGGGCTTAATTTCTGTGGATCACCTGTACTGTACAAGTGTGTTGCCCTCTGCCCACCTTGATACATAAACTTGAGGAATGGGCAACCTCTGAGAACTGTTAACTTTTATGCTACAGAAAGCTGCTTGCTGTCCTCTAGCTTTGTGACCAAAATTATGTCATTTTGCGTTGTAAATTGCTGGCAAATGCTTTACAGTCAGTAGTGTTGCATTAAATTGTGCCCCTCCCAACATGCTTGATGTTTGGCCTGATCTCCAGGCAAAAGGAGTGAGCTGAATCAAAACCAGTGAACTTTTTTAAAAATATTTTTAATTCCCTTCTAACTCTGTACTAGGTCAATCAGGAGGCATCTAAGGTTTAAAAAAAAGACAATAAGAATGTTTAAATTTTTTATTTCCATATTTTGTTGTTTTTCAAAGCCCTAAAATATTAGAGCCCTGCAAATGCTTTTATGTTTGACTCATCTAGATAAAGAAATAAGTTATTTATAGTTGCAGTTTTACTATCTTGTTGTAAACAAAAACTTTGTGGCTCACCCAGAATATCTTGAGGATCAGAGTCCTGCAGATGCCTCCTGATCAGACATAGCCCTAACTCCTTAAAAACTAGCAAGAGCTGCACAGTACAAACTCAAAAAGAATAAGCTCATTTATTTGGTATCCAGCCAATGTTGGCTACTAAATACAAGTCATTATTAAAAGTAGCTTTTTCCCCCCAGGGAGTGATGGGAGAAGATTTAAAAGGCATCAACTTTTGACCAAAAAAAAAAATCTTGCCCTAGTACTGATGCAGCACTCTTTTTCTCCTGCACCTCTGGCAAGATAAGAGGGATCATTATTTTTTAAAACTCGTAAATGCAATTTTGTGTCTTGCTAGAGAATGTGGGTGACTATAAACAGCACAGTCCTCTTTGCCATCCTCAAGACTGTCTGCTTGGTGCCACATGCCTGTGGGTCCTTAAAGCACAGACTTGAAAGTATTACTGAAGTACAGCCTCTGGTGAGGAGTGGCACTTAAACTGTTGGGACACCAATATTGGACAGTCTCGTACAGGCAGCTGTCCAGTTTTGGTGCTTAACTCATTGGAACAGGAGTTGTTGAATGGAAAGATGCTCTAAGAACTACTAGGTCAAAGCCTAGTCTCTTTTTAAATCCCCCTTAACAATAAGGAGCGTTTGTTACTATTGGGAATTTTCATGTTCTTCCAGTATTGGGTGTTTATTTTTAATGCTAACATTTTTTCCACTGGTTCATTTGGGTGAAAACTATTGTTTTCAATATTTAAATAATGTCCAGCCCATGGTTTAGCCTGTGGTTGTATAGTTGTGTAATGGGTTATGGACTGTTACACACCTTGTTGCCTTTGGGCCTATTTTATTTTGTCTTTCTTTTTCCATGCTGATGGAGGAACTTTATTGCCTTTCCCTTAGGAATGGAATAAATTCCAAAATGATGTTCCATGGGAAGAAATAAGGGAGAGGAAAACCTAAAAATATATCTAAATTATTTTCAAGTTGTCCCTACACCGTAAGGGTTGACCCCAAAGGCTGGGGGTGGGGGGAGGCAATTGGTCATCAATATTTGTCTTCAGAATGAGATGGGAGCATCTTTCCTCTGCTGTGTGCTTTGTGTTTGATACCATCATGCTTGGGTTAGAACCAGACAGCTCAGCACAAAGCTTGAGTGTAAATTGTTGGAATCAAAACATCTCATTCTGATCACTCGGTTTATTTATTTTTATTGTTTTAATAGGGGTGGGAGGGAGGTGACTGCCCCAAAGGGAGGGTGTCTGCACTAAGGATTTACAAACACTTTGAAAGCTCAAAACCTCATCAGGAACTGCCTTGAACCACACTCCTGACCTTACAGATGAGTAACAAAAAGATGAAATAAATTCTCGGGAATTAAGCCATGTTATTTTAATTTGCCACTTTTTTCAGTGTTCTATGTATCTTAAAAATTGTTATTGTGGAATCATCCTTTGGCAAAATATCTTTGTCAAAATTATTGGGCTTGTGGGAGCTGAAGTCAGTCAACGTTTTGGTAAACTTATATGGACTTTTGTGAGCTTGTAGTTATACTGTACATCCTTAAAGATAGTTCTTTAAAAACTCCCTAAGAAAATCTACTCTCCTGATCTAAAAACTCATCTTTGGGGTAAAGAGTTAAGGGTCCAAAGTTTAGAACAGTTCATGAGGTCAGAGGGAGCTAGCTGGGCACCTGGACTCTGCCCCCCCACAGCTGACAGATTCTAACAGGAGGTGTATTTAAATTTTCTAATACACAATACTGGGGGGGGGGTATTAAGATACAGACCACCTGTATTTTAATCAACGGTTGTGGGGGAGGGGTGCCTGGAGAAAACAACGTGACATCCCTTTTTTGAAAACTTAAAACCTGAAAATTTTTGTTCAAAAAAGAAAAAAAAAAAAGATGGGGTAGAATTTAATTGTCCCTAGCCACAAGGGACCAATTCCACTGAGATGTGAACAGCGGAGACTCAAAAAGTTTTGAAAACATTTGGGGAAAGGGAAAATTGGCTTTCTGTTAATTGGCAAGTGTTCCAGTGGGACTTTTTTTTGGTTGGGATATGTTATGTTGTATGTGCATATATAGACCAGAGTCTCTGCTGAGTTTATCAAGTTCAGGAAAGATGGTTAGTAAAATATCGATTTTTGTTAATTTATCTCAATAAAAGCCCACTGGAACTCCAAATGTGTGTGTGTGTGGTATGTTTAAGCAGAAGGCTGTACTATCAGGTTAATTCATACTGAGTTGAAGCAGTACACTACACTACTGTGAGCCCCGTAGAATAAAATCAGCACTGTCCAGCTTTCTACATTTCACTTTGTCAGTTTTCATTGCATAAACAGAACCAAGAATCATTTGCAAAGGAAAGAGATGTTGGTCCACAAGGTGTCCAAGGGGACTGATTACCAGTAGTCATCACCTCCCAGATGCTTCAGAAATAAGAATATGCCCACAAAATACAGGAATAAATCTAACAGTGGCATTTTTATGCTAAGAACTACAAAGTATTGTGGAAATAAAAGATCTAAGTGGGAAATGCAGAAAGCTGAATACTCCCCCAAAGATACTTGGGTATGATTAACAGGGTGGGGCAAAAGTAGGTGTACAGTCATGAGTACACAACATTATTGTATTACATGTTCATTGTATTTTACATACGAATACACTAGTTTTGCTCACCCTATTATGCAAGGCTATTACTAATTGCAGAAAGTACACTCGGTACTTTCCTAGTGCACTGGGTGGCTCTTGGTTGGGAGTGTTGCAGATTTGATCCCTGGTCACTGCATACAGGAGGTAACTGATCAATGTTTTCTCTCAGCTTCTCTCTTCCCCTCTAAAGTCAGTAAATGTATCCTTGGGTGAGGACTTAAAAACTTTTTAATGAAAAAAGTGTACTGGGTATTTCTCTGCCTCAGCACACCTGGGTTTCCCCTACACCTCTACATTTGTAGATAGGGTGTATGTAAAACTCAGATTTCCTCCCGTTAGAACTGTGGCCTCTGTTTTTGGTTGGGATCCAGATAGTATTAGGGATGGGAAGTGACCTCAATAAACATTTTTTTTTTAAGATTTTATTTTTTAGGGGAAGTGTGGGAGAAAGAGAAGTAGAGAAACATCAATGTGTGATTGCTTCTTGTGAGCCCCCCACTGGATACCTGGCCCACAACACAGGCATGTGCCCTTGACTGGAAATCGAACCAGCGACCCCTTGATTCCCAGGCCAGCACTCAACCGCTGAGCCACTCTAGCTAGGGCAAGAAACAGATTCTTATGAGATCAATAATAAACTTACAGGGATTGGTGGAGGAGAGGCTGGGGATGGGACATGTATAACCCATGGCATAGTGTCATAATTCAAGTTTTTACTAGTGGTACCATGGGATGAACTTGAGGTAAAGGAAAAAAAAAGCCATGGAGAAATCAAGGGGTTCTAGCAATTTGGAACAATAGGCTCTTGAATGCATACGTAAGACAAAATTATGAACATGCACTTAACATATAAAGAGAAGGAGAAGGCCTGTGGGAGTTTTGAAGACAGATTCTTATCTGTAGATACTTTTATCCTTAGTAATTGACTACAGTGTCCCTGGAACAGAATAGATGGCATCCTTTTAAAGTTTTATGTGATTTGTATGCACAGAAAATCTGTATCTGATGAGAATTCCAACTTGAGCCAGTCTGTTGAACATCTCAAGTTTTTGGGCTTAAGGCAGTTCACTGAGAGAAGCTTTTTTTTTTTTTTTGCAGAATTTTAAGGTTTTATTAACCCAAATACAATGTGCACACAATCTGTCTATTCATTTTCTTCACTGCACAGCCTGGCGTTGGGATTGGTGACTCTGATGGCCAGCTGGGCTGCTCTTTCCACAATGGCTTTGTGGTTCTTTGAGGAGACATTGTGAGCAATCTCAGCACGGTAAGATTAGTTGCACAACAGTAGCACTTCAAGCTCCTTGACATTATGGACCAGGAACTTTCAAAAACCACTGGGCAGCATATGCTTTGTTTTTTTTGTTGCTCCCGTAACCAATGTTGGGCATCAACATCTGGCCCTTGAATCCTCTGTGCACCCTATTGTCAATGCCTCTGGGTTTCCTCCAGTTCCACTTAATTTTGACATAATGGTCTAACTTGGTCCTCTTTTTGACAATCCTTGAGTTTCACGAGGGGTCTGAGGGCCACCATGGTGCTGAGTAAGAGATCGCCGCCACCTGACAGAAGCCTCTTAAAAAAAAGGAAGCTGGATACCCCTTCTAACCTTCCTCAAAATGGACTCGTAACTATTTACTAGGTTGATTGTGTATTGGAAAAGAAGAAATATTATTTCTGAGGACTACTGAGACCCAATATGCTACAAAGGTTACAGTAAAGATTTATGGAGATCAAGTGATCCATGGAATTTTGTGTTTCTTTTTTAGTATATCTATATAGATTTTTAAATTTCCATCCTCCCACCCCCCACCCTCTGGCAACCATCAGCTAATTATTCTCCATATCTCTGAGTCTTTGTTTTGTTTACACACTTTAATTTTTTTTGGAGTCCACATGTTAGTGAGATCATATGGTATTTGTCTCCATCTGACTTACTTTACTTACATAATAATATCCTTTAGGTCCATCCATGTCACAAACAGCAAGATACTGTTTTATCTTATTGCTAATAATACTCTATTGTACACCACATCTTTATCCATTCATCTATCCATTGACATCTAGGTTGCTTCCATGTCTTGGCTATTCATAGTAATGCCAGAGTGGACATAGGGGTGCATGATCTTTTTTAAATTTTATTTATTTTTATTTTTAAGTTTATTTTATTGATTATGCTATTACAGGTTTCCCAACTTTTCTACCTTGACCTTCTCACCACTCTGTGCACCCCAAGCCTCCAGCACTAAGTTCATATCCATGGGTTGTATATATAAGTTTTTTGAGTTCTCTGTAACCTATATCATCTTTTATCTCTCCCCATCTATTTTATGTCTACAAATTATGCTTCTTCCCAGTTCCTTTCCCCCTCACTACTCCTCCCTCCCTCCTTCCCACTGAAATCCCTCCATGCGATATCCATTTCTCTGATTCTGTTCCTGTTCTACCCATTTGCTTACTTTTTGTTTTCATTGATTTTCTTTTCTTTTAGGTTCATTTGTTGACAGTTGTGAGTTTGTTGTCATTTTATTGTTCATATTTTTCATCTTCTTTTTCTTAGATAAGTCCCTTTAACATTTTATATAATAGGTGCTTGGTGATGATGAACTTCTTGAAATTGACCTTATCTGAGAAGCACTTTATCTGCCCTTCCAATTTAAATGAAAGCTTTGCTGGATAGAGCAATCTTCAAGATGTAGGTCTTTGGATTTCATGACTTGGAATACTTCTTTCCAGCCCCTTCTTGCCTGTAATGTCTCTTTTGAGAAATCAGCTGATAGTCTGATGGGAACTCCTTTGTAGGTGACTGTCCCCTTATCTCTTGCTGCTTCTAGAATTCTCTTCTTCATTTTAATCTTGGCTAATGTAATTATGATGTGCCTTGGTGTGTTCCTTCTTGGGTCCAGCTTGTTGGGGACTCTCTGAGCTTCCTGGATTTCCTGGAAGTCTATTTCCTTTGTCAGATTGGGGAAATTCTCCTTTATTATTTGTTCAAATAAGTTTTCCTCTTGTTGCTCTTCCTCTTCCCCTTCTGGTACCCCTATAATTAGGATATTGGAGCGTTTAAAGATGTCCTGGAGGTTCCTAAGCCTCTCCTCATTTTTTTTGAATTCTTGTTTCTTCATTCTTTTCTGCTTGGTCATTTTTTTTCCTCCTTCTGGTCCACTCCTTTGATTTGAGTCCTAGTTTCCTTTCCATCACTATTGGTTTCCTGTGTATTTCCCTTCATTTCAATTAGTTTAGCCTTCATATGTTCCTCTAATTTGTGACTAAAATCAACCAGTTCTGTGAGCATCCTGTTTACCAGTGTTTTGAACTGTGCATCTGAAAGTTTGGCTATTTCTTCATCGCTTAGATTTATCAGCTCTGGGGCTCTGAGTTGTTCTTGAGCCATGTTTTGATCTGTTTGTGCTTGTTATATATGAGGAGTGGAGCCTTAGTTGTTCACCAGGGCGGGGCCACCCAGGTCGCTGGGTTGTGATGCTGTATGTGGGGGCGGGGTCAGAGAGGGACAATGGAGGTTCCCTCTGCCACTTCCTGCCACGGGGGCCTGCATGATCCGTCTCACTGATAGCTCCTTCACTGGTTTATCTGCACGCAAATGTGTGACCACGATCAGCCCTCAGTGGGTCCACCCACTTCTCCACACCTGGGATCCACCCACAGCTGCTGGCGCACCTGGGTCGCACGCCCGGGTCTGTCCAGTGGATCTTTCCTGCCTGACCCCACTCTGCTGCTGGCTCTGCCCCTCTTACTGGTTTGGCTGAAGGGTTCGTTGTTGTCAGACTTCTGTGTAGTTCAATTTTCTGTGGTTTGGCTGCATTTTTGTTGCTAAAACTTTGTTGTTTTTAAACTTGGTTGTGCGAGAAGGCGCAGTGCTCCCACCTACACCTCCATCTTGGCGGAAGTCTGTCATTTTATGTCTTTTTAAATTGAATCTTTTTGTACTTTTTGGCCATCACCATTTAATTCCCTTATACTGCTCTCCTTCCAGCAACCATCACACTGTTGTCCATGTCCATGAGTCCTTTTTCCTTTTTGCTCAATCCTTCCACTCCTACCCTCCCCACCCCTTCTGTCATTCTGCTCTCCATTTATGAGTCTCTTTTTTTGCTTGTTAGTTCAGTTTGTTCATTAGATTTGACATGTGACTGAAATCATATGGTATTTGCCTTTCTCTGCCTGGCGTATTTCACTAGGCAGAATATTCTACAGAGCCATCCATGTTGTCACAAAGGGTAACTTTTTCGTTTTTTATGGCTGAGTAGTATTCCATTAGGTGAATGTCTCATAGTTGTTTTATTCACTCATCTACTGATGTACACTTAGGCTGCTTCCATATCTTCGCAATTGTAAATAATGCTACACTGAACATAGGGTGCTTATGTTCTTTTGAATTCATGTCTTGAATAACTTTGGATATACTCCCAGAAGTGGGATCACTGAGACAAAAAGCAGATTTATTTTGAATTTTTTGAGGTATCTTCATATTGTTTTCTATAGTGGCTGCACCAATCTTCATTCACACCAAT